GACTGTAAGTCTATGTTACAGTGTAGGAGGTACAACTGTCACAGCACGTACGACTGCTGTAAGTCTATGTTACAGTGTAGGAGGTACAACAGTCACAGCGCTACGACTGCTGTAAGTCTATGTTACAGTGTAGGAGGTACAACTGTCACAGCGCTACGACTGCTGTAAGTCTATGTTACAGTGTAGGAGGTACAACTGTCACAGCGCTACGACTGCTGTAAGTCTATGTTACAGTGTAGGACAGTCACAGCCACGACTGTAACTATGTTACAGCAGCGCCACTGTCACAGCAGGAGGTACGACTGCTGTAAGTCTATGTTACAGTGTAGGAGGTACAACAGTCACAGTGGCTCACGACTGCTGTAAGTCTATGTTACAGTGTAGGAGGTACAACAGTCACAGTCTATGTTACAGTGTAGGAGGTACAACTGCTACGACCGCTGTAAGTCTATGTTACAGTGTAGGAGGTACAACTGTCACAGCCAGTCTATGTTACAGTGTAGGCTGTAAGTCTATGTTACAGTGTAGGAGGTACAACAGTCACTGCAGCCACTTCGACTGCTGTAAGTCTATGTTACAGTGTAGGAGGTACAACTGTCACAGTCTGCTGTAAGTCTATGTTACAGTGTAGGCTGTACAACAGTCTATGTTACACGACTGTAAGTCTATGTTACAGTGTACAGGTAGCACAGTGGCCTGGCAGCGACTGCTGTAAGTCTATGTTACAGTGTAGAGGTACAACAGTCACAGTGCTACGACTGCTGTAAGTCTATGTTACAGTGTAGGAGGTACAACAGTCACAGCGCTACGACTGCTGTAAGTCTATGTTACAGTGTAGGAGGTACAACAGTCACAGCGCTACGACTGCTGTAAGTCTATGTTACAGTGTAGGAGGTACAACTGTCACAGCGCTACGACTGCTGTAAGTCTATGTTACAGTGTAGGAGGTACAACTGTCACAGCGCTACGACTGCTGTAAGTCTAGGAGTACAACAGTCATGTACGACTGCTGAGGTTACAGGTATGTACAACAGTCACAGCGCCACGACTGCTGTAAGTCTATGTTACAGTGTAGGTGTAGGATGTACAACTGCTGTCAGTCTATGTTACAGTGTAGGAGGTACAACACGCCAACGACTGCTGTAAGTCTATGTTACAGTGTAGGAGGTCACAGCCGCCACGAACTGTAAGTCTATGTTACAGTGTAGGAGGTACAAGTCACAGCCACGACTATGTTGCTGTAAGTCTATGCTGTAAGTCTATGTTACAGTGTAGGAGGTACAACTGTCACAAGTACGACTGCTGTAAGTCTATGCTGTAACTGCTGTAAGTCTATGTTACAGGAGGTACAACTGTCACAGTGCTACGACTGCTGTAAGTCTATGTTACAGTGTAGAGTGTACAACTGACAGTCCAGTGCTACGACTGCTGTAAGTCTATGTTACAGTGTAGGAGGTACAACAGTCACAGCGCTACGACTGCTGTAAGTCTATGTTACAGTGTAGGAGGTACAACTGTCGTAGCGCTATGATAGCTCTGTGAAAGCTAGATATTTTGTTAGGGGCCTATGTGTGTTAGAGACTCAGCGTCTAATGTTGGAAATATGGTTTTCAGTTTGGATGGCTGATTAGCAGCCTTTTTTATTAGATTGCTGTTTAACACTACCAATGTATTTAAATATGCACTGATTTTGTATGAAAAGACTAAATGTAGAAGAGATTTCTGTAGGAAAAAGAATACCTCTTTTTAACCAATCTGAATTAAGCATTCTTCAGTGTCATGGTAGCATGTCACATTATTTAGAATATAGACAAGACAATAACATAGAAAACACAATAACATAATAACATGAGGCACTAACTTGGTTTATCACTGTTTATGATCAATATTCCAACTTGGTGTGGGAGAAACTGATGTAGGTCACAGATATTACTTCTCTGGGGAAACCTGCAAGCCCAGGTAATGTGCCAAGAATATAAAAATGATAATTATATCAGGACAATCATCGGATTTGGCACACCTAAAGAACACTATGAGAGGTGTCTTATGTGCAGCCATTGCTTTGAGGAATGCACAGCAGATAACCAGAGGATAAGTGAGGTCATCAATATAGAAACAGTGTCTAGCAAGTGATGGCATTATGAAGACTTTCGCTGTCTTTATCTTCCCACTTGGAACTGTGGGCTGCTTCCCACAAAATTGTCATGACTTATTAGAGCGACAGGACATCCTGTGGATAATTACAGAATTGATTGATGATAAGGAGTCTGTGAGTGCCCAGCGGAGTTAGTGAAACAAGAGAGTCCTGTCTGAATCAGTAGGACATCTTCATTGCATTTTGATATCATGTCTCATCAGGGAAATCACTTTGTTCCTCATCTGTTGTGTGTTAAAGTTCCAATCGTTCCAGGACAGGCTGTGATGATTCAGTTAGGTTCTGTTCATATAAGTTTAGGCTGATTGACTTCAAGATGGAAGAGTCCTTTGCTTTGTGTTGATGAAAGGAATTTTGTTGGTCCTTTTGTTACAGAACCATCCTTACACACCCAGGATCTAGCCTTCACATAGGACAGCATCCTACCATTTACAGTAGGGGTTGCCAATGGCGCCACAAGTCACCTGGCAGAAGGCTGGACTTAGGGTTCCTCCAAAATGGCAGTGCAGTGTGATAGCCTAATGGTTAAAGCGTTTGCTCATCACAGCAAAGACCCAGGTTCGATTTCCCAATGTGGGGTCAATGTGTGAAGCCTATTTCTGGTATCCTCCACCTTGATACTGCTGGAATATTGCTAAAATTGGCATAAAAACCATACTCAATCACTCACTCACTCCTCCAAGAAACTTGTAAGACCTGCATTTCTCATTTAACGGTTTGGCATGCTCCGACAAGCTGACAACCCATGATATGACTGACATATTGTCCAGTACAATTGTAAACCCAACTTATTCAATCAGGCAATCCATCCATCCATCACTGACTTAAGAATCGTGGTATGATATCCAGATTGGACCTCATTATGGCCTTGTGTCAACATCATGCAAGTAGTAAACTTCTCCCCAACATCAAGTTACTGAGTTTTATGCCACACTCAGCAATATTCCGGTGGTAGTCTGTGAATAATCGAGTCTGGACCAGACAATCCAGTGATCACCAAGATCAAGCTGACACGTGATAGCAGATGGATTAAAAAGTAAACATATAAAAATGTTTTCCTGAAAATCTCATTCAGTAGGCTCAGCTGTAGGACAATAAGATAAATGATGACTGAAAATTTCATTCAGTAGGCTCAGCTGTAGGACAATAAGATAAATGATGAGTGAAACGTGCATATTCCAGTTTAAACCTTTTGGAGAACAGAAATTTCATCTGTTGTTTGAAAGTGTCCTTTGTCTCATCTCTAACAATCAGTTCACAAGACCAAGGGGCCATGGGGTAGCCTAGTGGTTAACGCGTTCGCTCATCACTCGCAAGGCCTGGGTTCGATTCCCCACATGGGTACAATGTGTGAAGCCCATTTCTGGTGTCCCCCGCCATTGCTGGAATATTGCTAAAAGCAGCATAAAACCATACTGACTCAATCACTCCCAAGACCAACATACTGACAGTTCAGTCTTAAGTAGTGGCTTGAACGTCGCCGCTGTGCACACTTTCCCCGCCATACACCAGTGATATAGTTAAAACATACCCAAAAATATTACAACATGAACTCTGGTGCAGTGATCGGAAAAATATAGTATCTGAAACTATTATATATATAACCAAGAGCAATATGTTCTAGCATTGTGTGATTTTAATTGCAGGTTTTGCTCTATAAATGTAAAATATTTATAGTCATTGCTATGGTTATGCGACAGCACTTTGGTGTATTGCTGGGTAGTTTTAATGCATGGAACAATTTGACCGGTCACCAATGTGGTTTTGTGTGATCTCACTATTTCCACAGCAAAAACAGTTTCTTGACATGTGATCGTCCTGTTACAACAAATGTGACTTTTAGCGAAACAAAATATATGTACATATCCATTTTCTGTCAACTGCTCTTCATTTCAAGGCGTGAGTAGATACAATAGAGGCGTGAGTAGACACAAGTCCAGATATGCAAAGAACATGTTTTATTACAGATGGTGTAGCAACAGGATTAACTTGTGTAATTTAATACAGATTTGTTGACACTTTATTTCCGAAGACTGATCGCAACGATAAGATGAACTAAGGTTGGTGGTTTGGGCTTACGTACAGAACATACCATTTTGATACTGATTTTAGGGGTCAAGTTAGGACCTCGGCTTATCTGCAGTAATATATGGTACTTCAAGATACTTTCATTTTTGTGTTACAGGGGTGAGACACATACTTCAAGATACTTTCACTTTTGTGTTACAGGTGTGAGAGACATACTTCAAGATACTTTCACTTTTGTGTTACTGGTGTGAGACACATACTTCAAGATACTTTCACTTTTGTGTTACAGGTGTGAGAGACATACTTTAAGATACTTTCACTTTTGTGTTACAGGTGTGAGAGACATACTTCAAGATACTTTCACTTTTGTGTTACAGGTGTGAGAGACATACTTTAAGATACTTTCACTTTTGTGTTACTGGTGTGAGACACATACTTCAAGATACTTTCACTTTTGTGTTACAGGTGTGAGAGACATACTTTAAGATACTTTCACTTTTGTGTTACAGGTGTGAGAGACATACTTTAAGATACTTTCACTTTTGTGTTACAGGTGTGAGAGACATACTTCAAGATACTTTCACTTTTGTGTTACAGGTGTGAGAGACATACTTCAAGATACTTTCACTTTTGTGTTACAGGTGTGAGACACATACTTCAAGATACTTTCACTTTTGTGTTACAGGTGTGAGAGACATACTTCAAGATACTTTCACTTTTGTGTTACAGGTGTGAGACACATACTTCAAGATACTTTCACTTTTGTGTTACAGGTGTGAGAGACATACTTCAAGATACTTTCACTTTTGTGTTACAGGTGTGAGAGACATACTTCAGAGTCTGACATTTGTGGGCTGTGTGAGTGAAGAGCATGCCCTGATCCAGCACCAGACGAAACTCTACCTTGCTAACACCACCAAATTAAGGTTGGTTATCTCAATGCAGGATCATAGCTCAACACAGATACCACTAGGATGTGTTAATTCCATTATTTTATGAGGTTGTTATTATTTGTAATGTCAAAGACCCGTGAAGATCCAGGTTAGATTTGATCTTCAGTAACCCATGCTTGTCATAAAAGCGACTAGCGGGATCGGGTGGTCAGGTTCGCTGACTTGGTTGATACATGTCATCGTATCCGAATTGCGTAGGTCGATGCTCATGATGTTGATCACTGGATTGTCTGGATTATTAACAGACTGCCACCATATAGCTGAAATTATTGCTGAGTGCGGCGTAAAACTAGACTCACTCACTCACTCAAATGTAATGCCAAATTCGATATGGAAGCCAGCCTATGTTCATGGTTTCCAGAAAGAGCAGTATGTTTGTGGTCCACTTGGTGCCATAATCCCCACTAATATATAGCAACTAAATTGTATATTCAAAATTGTATAGTTTTACAGAAAACACCTCTGCTTGGAAATGCTCATACACAAACTTTGAGACCTTTGTGAGATAACTGAATCCAAACAGAACCTTTTCAAAGTATTACAGGTGATTCCCTTGTCAAGCATCTCTCAACCACCAAAAAACAACCTGATCATAAATAATAGATGAATAACAAAGGAAAAACAGACTGCACAAAATGTAGATTTAAATATCATGATTCATCTTTGATCTATGAAAATGGATGTCTTTCCTATATGTCATCACCCCAGTGTTAGTGAGGATGGCCTCCAAAGCTGACGAAGAGATCCACAAATATCACTGCCCAGGTCACTGCCCAGGTCACTGCCCAACACATCAACATACAAAGCATGTGCTGTTGTTCAAATTCTGTGATCAACTTGAATGAGATTTATAAAACTACAGCAAAATACACAGACAGATTTTCAAAAGAAATCATTAGGTAACCATTTCAAATCTCAGATTGCTATTATTTATCATGTGATCTCTACTTCAACCCACCCACCCTCACTGTGAGTCAAGAGATGCAGGCAAGCACGCACACATACACATTTTGATACACACATTTACTTTCAGTGTTCAATGTTCATATTCCAGCAAGGAACTGCTGTATCAGATACTGTTGGCAGACTTTGGCAACTTTGGCATTCTCAGGCTATCTGTAAGTAAACCACATATCAGTCTCACATAAGTTTCTGTGTCGCTTTCTGTAAGTAAACCGCATATCAGTCTCACATAAGCTTCTGTGTCGCTATCTGTAAGTAAACCGCATATCAGTCTCACATAAGCTTCTGTGTCGCTATCTGTAAGTAAACCGCATATCAGTCTCACATAAGCTTCTGTGTCGCTTTCTGTAAGTAAACCGCATATCAGTCTCACATAAGCTTCTGTGTCAAATGAAAATACTATATTTTATGATTATCTTTGCCTTGCTCCAATTTGGAAAATGCCTCACCACAAGTAGAATTTTTATCATGAGTGACAGAAACTGTACAAAATTGAGACAAAAGGCATATTGATGATGGCATCACTTTGGAAATTAAGTTATCTAAGGTATGATGACAGGGTCTAAGGGTATGATCACAACAGAATGGAGAAGTAACACACTGAATGATCAATCTTGAAGAAACAAGTTCAAAGTAGGTCAAAATCCCTGATCAACCGACCAAAACAGTTTCTCAAGTCCCTGAACGTGTTGTTATTAACTCTCGTCATGAGTGCTGATTTGATTGATCATGTACAGGTGATTTATGTTCCAGCAAGTTATTTTGGGGCATACTATGAAAACCAAACTACCCACCATGGATGGGATTCAGCTGGGATATTGTCACCATAACCAGTTGGTTCAATCTGTAGTCAGAACAGAATAGAGCAGAACAGAACTTGTATATACGCTCAGGCTGGGATATTGTCACCATAACCAGTTGGTTCAATCTGTAGTCAAAACAGAATAGAGCAGAACAGAACTTGTATATACGCTCAGGCTGGGATATATATAACCAGTTGGTTCAATGTGTAGTCAGAATAGAGCAGAACAGAACTTGTATATACGCTCAGGCTGGGATATTGTCACTATAACCAGTTGGTTCAATCTGTAGTCAAAACAGAATAGAGCAGAACAGAACTTGTATATACGCTCAGGCTGGGATATTGTCACCATAACCAGTTGGTTCAATCTGTAGTCAGAACAGAATAGAACAGAACAGAACTTGTATATACGCTCAGGCTGGGATATTGTCACTATAACCAGTTGGTTCAATGTGTAGTCAGAATAGAACAGAACAGAACTTGTAAATACGCTCAGGCTGGGATTCTTGGTATATGAGGTACAGATATACATACAGAGGGGGTTGGGGAGGGATGGTTTACATGGAAGATTGTACAGTTTTCATGTTAGTATTACGAATATACATAGTTTGTTTAAACACTAACTTGTTTACAGTTAAACAATTCATGAAATTTTAATTTAACATAATAGTTTGGGATAAATGTTTACCGATGATGTTTGAAAAAAGGGCAGAAAAAGGTGCAATGGGATTCATTGCAGACATCACACATGGGACAGAGGTTACCAGTGCATATTCTTTCTTCTGGTGGAACTATCTAATTTGTCCATTTGTTCTGTATTTTCATGAGACTGTATGTAAAGTAATAGTGCCATGCACTGTAGCTAAACATTAAAGGCACTGTTGAAGAAGAACATCTACAAACATTGAATCTGTACAGGACAGCCAGCTGGACATTGTAATCACCGAGATGTTTTGACACAGGTTACAAACCCCTCATGACACGAGGAACAAAGGAATACTGACTTTGACAAAAAGATAGAGATTCAGTTTATTCTTCACAGATACCTAATTTTCCAAGACAATATAATCCTTCCTTGTAGCCTTGCTGTCATGGGTACTAGACCAAGGAGAGCTGACTAGCTTAATCCTGGCCTTGTGTTTCCCACCATTAGATTACAACCACACAGTCACTCACACTGGAGTAGCTCTCAAGGGCAGAAATTTGATTTCTGGTCAAAAACTCACTGAGACAGGATCAGATTGCTATTAATTTGAATGAAGAGGTTAAATCATCCCTGGGATCCCTGATCATATTACTCCCATCGAGGCTGCTGACATGTGATCAATGCTAAACTATGCCACCAACCTTTCATCCAGCAGCATTGTATCAAACATGGATATTTTAGGACTTTAAGCTCCCAGAAAATAGCCCCACCAAAATAGTAACAGACCCAGTTAAGCCCTTGGACTACATAAAGTACACTGAGTATCTAGGAAGAATGCATCCATTAGCACACATAGATCCCAGCATTGAAAAAAGGCACCAGTTTACCAAACAGAAACGTGAAACAGATCATATTTTCCATCAACTGCTTCAATATTGAGGTTTAAATCATTTGGAACTGTAATTAATCTGTTTGTCTAATGATGATTATATTTGAAACCTGTTTGATGTAACCATTCTACAATGGGTGGTAATGTAGGCATTTGGAACATGCACACTCTCATAATAATTAATGCATCCACTTGTGGGTTACAATCTTTATTTCAAGTTGTAACAAACTTTGAAATGTCAGTAGTAATCCCATGAAGTCTTAAGATGACAGAACCAGAACAACATATAGTGATACATGTAATCTCTTTTCCTGAAAATTGAAATCATCATCGATATGCTGGAAAAAGCACTCTCCCTCCATCAGGAACCTGCCCCTATCTATGACCTGGCCATGATGGCCTTGGACTCAGCAGAGAGTGGCTGGACAGAGGCAGACGGACCCAAGGAGGATCTGGCCCAATACATTGTTGACTTCCTCAAGACAAAGGCACCCATGTTGGAGGACTACTTCTCTGTGGAAGTGGACAAGGTGAGTGAGCAAGAACTGGCCCAGTACATTGTGGACTTTCTCAAGCCTAAGGCACCCATGTTGGGGGACAAAATGCATGAGTAGGACCTGCCCTTGTCACATACTTCCTCAAGACTAAGGTGTCCATGTTGGAGGACAAGGTGTGTAGGTAGGAACTGGCCCAGTACATTGTGGACTTCCTCAAGCCCAAGGCTCCCATGTTGGAGGACAAGATACTAAGGTGTCCATGTTGGAGTTCAAGGTGAGTTGAGTAAGAACTGACCCAGTACATTGTGGACGTCTTCAAGCCTAAGGCACCCATGTTGGAGGACTACTTCCCTAGAGGTGGACAAGGTGTACGAGTAGGACCTGCCCAATGTGTGCACTTCCTCAAGACTTAGGCATCCATGTTGGAGGACAAGGTGAGTAGGTAGGAACTGGCCCAGTACATTGTGGACTTTATCAAGACCAGGTACATATTTCAGAAGAGGACTATTGAAGCAGCCAAGTAGATTAAAGCAACTTGCTAACTGCAGTGGGATAAAAGTCTCAATTGAAATCAAAGTGAGTGACTCAGGTTACAGATGACTTTCTCAATATTTATCTTTCTGGATAGAGATTTTACATTCTGCATTTAATCTATTCTGTATTTTGACTGGAACTAATGGAGTGCATCCCTTGTTTCTAGTCTGGCAATCTGCTGACACTGCCGATGCTGCTAGACGACTACAACCCTGTGCTGGATGGACTTCCCCTCTATGTTCTGCGGCTTGCAACAGAAGTATGTTTGTAGCTTTGTCTTGGAGTGCCACAATGTTCTTTAAACTAGGACACTACTGTAACATGTTATATTTGGCATTACACTTTCTCAGTAAAGTACATATTCTAGTACTTTCATACACGTATCAGAGGGGTACACAAAGTCTGTGGTATAGTAGGTATGATTGTTTTCTGGGTGATCTTACTCAGTGTGAAACTGTGAACTTGGTGAATGAATTTGCAATTTTCCTCTTAAATCTGTATTTGGTGTTGAAGTTAACAAATGTACTTACCACAATAAGTTGCTCACTTATACTCTCCTATTCCTTCATTTGGATTAGGCCTGACCAATTTTATGTCCTGTTTTACAGATCCACCTGTCATATTTTTTCAAGAATAAGAAAAAAAAGAAGTTAATTTTCCCCACTCTAAAAATAAAATCCTAATGTTTTTGGGGTTTTATTGGTCAAAAATGTAAATTTACAAGAAAGTTTTTTTTTAGATTGTGTTTTGTCCCATCCATATACACTGTATAAATTGCCAAAAGTATTCTTTCTTTTTTTTCCTCCTGCCTTTAGGGTTTTTGTGTACAAAAATCTGTAAAACAAGAAATAAAATTGGTCTGGCCTTAGTAGGTATTTATGAAAGTTGTAACATTTTATCTATAAAATTCTAATATTCTGAATAGGCATTAGCAACAGGCCGTACCTGTTGCTTCCAGTCTGGTTCATGGTTCAATGTGCACATGGCAACTTCTGACATGTAGAGACGGAGTGAAGCTAAAACGGTATCCCACTGTGCCTTCATTCATAGACAATTGTTTGCTTCTGAATATGTGAAACTAGCACATTTTGGTGTGACTGTTGTAACAAGAAAAACTGTTTTACCCTGATCTTTACATCACATTAAAACAATGGCATAATGCATATTGAGTGTATTTATGAGGCCTTGCAATATTTCCCTCAAGTTCAGGTCTGGTAGTGAGTGAGTGAGTGAGTATGTTTTTACACCGCTTTTAGCAATATTCCAGCAATCTAACGGTGGATCAGCTAGTGATAAGTCAACCATGGACTTCAATGGGAGTGGGAGATAGATCTATAACTACTGCACACACATATCCTCTACCACTTATCTGTAACTACCATACAGCCAGCCTTTGCTAATAAGTGAAAAAGTGATTTGTAACTATTATATCAACATTTTGTCTCGCACCAGATTCTTTTTTTTAATTCTCAAAATAATTAGAATTATACTAACTGCTAACTTATGCATCCATAAACTAATCAATTACTTACTTGCTATAAGATGTGTCATCACAGGTGTTAAGTGATCCAATACAATCTGATACATGCTCTTAGTATTGTACCACAATTACAAAATGTGTGCTCCAAAATAAGAGGGACAGTGGGGTAGCCTAGTGGTTAAAGCGTTGGCTCGTCACGCCGAAGACCCTGGTTCGAAATCCCCACATGGGTACAATGTGTGAAGCCCATTTCTGGTGTCCCCCGCCGTGATATTGCTGGAATATTGCTAAAAGCGGCGTAAAACCAAACTCAGTCTTCTCCAGAACATGTGTATACTGACTACATATTTTATAGTTTGGGAAACAATCTTATGTTCCTTTGCAGTATCCTATTCTTCTGTCATTCAACAGTACACGGAAATAACTGTACAAATCTACTTACATGCAGAAGCAAACCAGACATATTATGACATGAAAGCAAATTACCTCAAATCATATCTATAAGTCCAATTTATGTGTTATTTTCAAATGGGGAATGAATTGTGTGCAGATCATCTACAAGACATCAAATACTGTTATTTTATTTAATCTTGGAAACACAGTGATATGTACCACAGGCTGCCAGCATGGTATCTGGCTTCAACCTCCCAATATTAATACCGAGAGTCCCATGGACTCAATAGAGTCATGCAAGCCCTTGTCAGCCTCCAGATGCCATCTCTCTCTACTTCAGGTGAACTGGGAGGAGGAGAAGGAGTGTTTTGACTCCTTCTGCCGAGAAACCAGCGAGTTCTACTGCATTAAGAAGAGCTTGTTCTCCAGGCCGAGCCAAGGGGAGGAGCCACAGGTCAGTGTCAGTCATCTCGTTCTTCATAAGGGCAATATATCCGCAGAAATATTACTTGAAGCAGTGATGGCATCAGGGCAGAACATTATTCCAACCTTTATATTTTGTTGTAAAAATATGCTTTGCTGTTGCAGTGAATGTAAGGTTCTGTCTGATTTGTTCTGTTTTGTAAAACATGGAGTCAAGTATGCTCTAACTTATAAATGTATTTATTTTCAAGGAAATAGAAAAATCACAGTCCAAGGGAGATAATTGGCGGTGGACTGTGGAACATGTGATATACCCAGCAGTTCGGACACAGTTACTTCCCCCTAGACAGTTCGCCGAGGATGCAAGCTTATTGCAGCTTGCCAATCTCCCAGACTTATACAAAGTGTTTGAGAGGTGTTGAATTCTAACAGACAGTCAGAAATTTATGGCCCTGTCTTTCACAACCTTTCCGAAATGAAAACTTGAATTTGTCAAGTGCAGGTTGTGCAGAGTCATTGATGGAGACGACATTTTTAGCCACAGCAAAGAAATGGAAGGCCATAATGGTACTGAATTGACTGTCATGAAGCCAGTGGTCCACACACTATCACCACCCACACAGGGAGTAGTGACACAAGTGACGATGAACTTTATCTGTGCCAGGTTGTCTTCTTCTGTCTAATCTGCCAATGTGACAATAAATGAAGGGGTTGTTTTTCCAACCAGTAGAACCTTATTTATTTGTAGTTTCTTTTGGTGGATATTAAGTCTGTATAGGTTGAAACAGTTTGACAGATGCTTTGTTTGAACAAACAATACAGGTTCACACATGGATACAACTGTAATTATTGGAGTGAAGCCAGACGTCGTTCTATTTTAGGTGTACAGGAATACTTGAATGTTGAGGCAAAAATATGCACAAGTACACGTGAGGGAGAGTTGTTATATAATGCATGTTTGTTAGGCCATGCTACAAAAACTGGTCTCAAAACAGCATGAATTTTTGTGGGTTACGATTTACCAATAAATATGAAGATTTAAATACAGAGCTAGCCTTTCTCAGATTGTTTTAACATTAAGTGGCCACATGTTGTCCCTCTGCTGAATTGGATCTTTTACAATAACTGATTGTAAACACAAAACAAAATTGCATTAACCATATCTATAGACAAAATGAGTGAGTTGTGTTTTACACCGCTTTTTGCAATATTCCAGCAATATCACGGCGGGGGACACCAGAAATGGGCTTCACACATTGTACCCATGTGGGGAATCAAATCTGGGTCTTCAGCGTGACTACCCCACCACCCCATAGACAAATGAAATCGTGCACACTTCACTGCCATTCATATCAACATTGTCCAACTTAAACATCTGCTGAGCCAGATATATTGAAAGGCCTTTAACGTATTGGCCTACATTGCTTCAAACTCTGCAACAGTCTAAGTAAACTTAGGCTCAGTATTATTTGTTACACAATGTTAGCTTTTGCGATTTGGTAAGGTGTGTTCTGATTGGTTAGTCCCAAAGGTTAGCTGACGTGACCTTCTGCTAGGTTTTGTTAGACTCAGGCTCAGTATAGCAGTGTAACGAATAATACTAAGTTTATTTAAACTGAACTCTGCAATAAACACCTTGCCATGAATTTTATATTTAATAAATAATCCTCTTATAATTACAGAGTGATTTTAGGGATATTCATGATAATGGTAATTCTATTTCATTTCACTATTTCATGTCATCAGATCTATAAACCTAAAAAGAACCTCTGAAATTCATTTATCCTTACAATACCAGTAACATTGGAGAAACTGACTGACTGAGCCCGTTTACAGAAATGTTGCCTCATGACCATGTGTGTTAAACAATGGGAAGGCTGTTTGAAGACATGAGACATTATGATTAAAAACTTCTTTAATCAGTTTTCATGTATGCCAGACTGCAGAAAGTGCCAGTACAGAACTTGCATTTGGTGTCCATTCTCCAACTGTACACCAGCTGACATACAGGATATGATTAGGAGTGAAAGTCAACAGGTCTTTGTTTAAGAAACTATGCATGGACATATGTATATACTACAAACCCTCACAAAGCATCTGAAAGAAGATCCACAGAACCTCTGATACCAGTTGTAATCATGATAACATTCAGGAGTCCAAGGTCCCCCATCCTGTCTTGTTCCATCACAGTAATAAATGTTTTTGTGTGCCTTGCACAGCTACCCCTACACCAATGGTGGTAAAATGCTTGTATTTGCTCAGCTTTTTATGGTTGATTTGAAAGCTTTCCTTACAGCAATGACAAAAGATCGGAAGTTGTTTGTGGAGTTGAGCTTCTCCACCAAGACATCAAAGTTGTCCACCAATGGCTCACAGCCAGAAACTGGAACACAAAACAATCACAACATTCTGAAAATCGGTGTATACATATACATATACACACATATATGGGTCATTTTCAAAATTGGTAGTATTTCCAAATAAAAACACAAACTCTGTTAACTAAAAAGGATTTTTGTTGTGCTAGAATACATATTTAGATGTTCGCTAGTCAGTAAATGTGGTATATCATAAGTTAAAAAATTGGCAGATTTGCTCTGTCCGGAGCTGACGGTCCTAATATCAATATTCACAAATAATGTAAATATAAATGCAAATAAACAAACTAATTTATATTATGCCAATTAGGATTGAACAGGCATACTCAAACTGCATTTAATTATTTTTTTAAATATAACAAATTTACAATTACTTTAAGAGTTAAGATAAGTTTAAGCATGGAATTTTACTGTTCAAAGGAGTTTTGATGTAGTAGCGTAAAAAAGTAGTTTTCTAGTAACGGTTTGGACAAATAATAGTAACGGTCTGGACATATCTTTAATAAATTTCAATTTTGAAGAATATGGTGTGATAATAAATATCTATTTACTTATCTATCTGCTTTAAATAATAAAAACCAAAACAAATTTATCACGTTATGTTTCTATTTTCTATAAGATCTAGTCTTTATGAATTAAAGGTAACGGTTAGGACATCTATGGTAACAGTTTGGACAAAATGTAGTAACGGTAAACAACTTAATTGTATTCCAACCTTTAAAGATTTTTTGGGTGTAAACTGTTTTAACTTAACTGTGAGATATGTAAGGCTACCATTTACTTTGAATATTGCTAGGTGCTAATATGTTGGCCAAACCTTTGTATTTGATAAATATGTGTTACCATCTCACTATTAACAAACACTAAAGGTATCCGAGCAAATGAAAGAAGTATATTTCATGGAGACTAATATTGCACCATAATATCAACAGCAAAATGATATCGATGCAGTTGCCTGTGTAGCATGACCATGTGCACAGTATCATAGTTGTTGCAGTACCTTTCAGAATTTAATCTTTTGCAACCTTTGTTTGTTACATTGATGTCTTGATCGTTACCAATAATGTCACAACCGTTACTATTCATTCAATTTTTGTTCCCCAATTGCACTCTTCTTTAGATTATAAGTGATTTTCAATCTAGACAGGTGTGTTTTTCTATTCTTTAGAAGCTACAGTTTGTTTTTATTCAAAAGCCTTAATTCATTCACAAGTTTCATATTGATATAACAAATGTCCAAACCGTTACCACAGCATGGAAGAAAACATGTCATATTTGTTACAAGTTACAATTTCTAATACACATTTCACTGTCTGTACAAAATAGGGTTAGCAGTTGAAGTAAATGATGTCGTTTTTTCCTTTCATGTTACCTGTTTCTATGTTGAATTAAATTGTTTAAGGTTTATGTCCTGCCCGTTACCATTCCTGTCCAAACCGTTACCACTATTATCCTAACTTTTACTGGTGTTAACTGACTGCTCTAATTAATTCATGATAATACATGAAACACTCCTCTTTATACTGGTGTCATCAAAAGATGTTCTGGGCTTAGTAGCTGATCTCTATTTTAGACAATTTTAACTGTTGAAAGCTATATACATAATAATGTTTTAGAAAAATGCTATTATTTTGTGGTAAATAAATGAAAGATACAAAATAACACTTTCAAGATTCATGATAATAGTTTTGAAAATGACCCATATAAATCATAGCACACAGCAGGCACTAAAGGGTCATAGTGTATGGGTGAATGTTGAATTACCAAATGGCAGTATCACAACTGTAAATTATCAAGTCTTTTGGCAGACAATCCATCTGTATTGTAACCACCCATTCCTCTTCAATCTGCTCTTACAAGAAACATACTGGGACTAATACTTTTCCCACCTGTTCAGAGCATCAATGACACGGAATTCACACTGATAGAGAATCACCCATTTTGGGCTGACAACTTGAGTAAAGTCTTTCTGCTTTTTTGCAGTAATCCACCAATATCATGGCAGGGGACACTAGAAATGGACTTCAGACAATTTACCCATGTGGGGAATCTATCCCAGGTCTTCAGCATGATAAGCAGATGCTTTAACCATTAGGATACCCCAATACCATTAGGATCGCCCCACAAAAACTTGAGAACCAATGGACTCAATGGACAATGCGATGATGTGTCAACCAAGTCAGCGAGCCAGACCACACGAGCCCATTAGTCGCCTCTTTTTGACAAGCATGGGTTGCTGAAGACCAATTCTAACCAGCATCATGACAAGTCTTTCAACATCTCCTGGTGATACTCAGGTCAAATCTCAGGATAATTAATAATAATCAGATGATGTTCTTTCACACAACTCTATACTTTTATCAGCTAGAAAATATGTCATGAGTAAAACTTATCTGAATATGTTTTCAAAATGTATTTAGAACTACAGGCCTGAGCATGATCTATTTCAAGTCATCTTACTGGTCAGTCAATATGTTCTCTGTAAAATGTAGCCAATCAGCTGGTTTGAACCAGACATATTTCTATATTATTCAGGTCTTAGCTGGGTTCAAACCCATGATCGTGGGTTTATGGTGTGCCAAAGGGAAGCAAATTGTGACATCTTAGAAAACTGGGCTACCCATACCCCATTACTGATAAGACAAAGCAGTTAGACAGCAATGTGTACTACATAGTAATAAAAGAGGTCAAGTACTGATCAAAGTGTCCAGTTGTCGATGTCATGTTTGAGATTTGGAATATTTACCCATCTGATCAGTAATCAGAATTATTAATGATTATCAATATGAAAGTTGTGTCATTGATATTATTGATATAGTTATTCTGATGAAGTAAAGTTTTAGAATACAGAACCAGACTTGTTATTATCAATTGCTGAAGATAGAAAGCAACTGTTAGGGTAAAATATTTAATAAGTCAACAAAGTAATCAATGCAGAATTGTAATCACTCAGTGATGTGAAGTATGCTGTTTTCTTCCGTGACTAATAGCATATCTGCACAAAGTTACTGCTCCAATATTTATCAATGATTTTGATAATATCGATTTAGTAAAAGATCATCAGTCTTTGTCATCTATATCGATAGCCAGACCAACACATTTTCTTTCTGGTGCTTCAGTCTGATGAACAGGACAATACAGAATGATACACACACATGGCTCTAGGTGGGAATGATGAAGTCCGCCCTGATTGTAGGTAGACATCACCTCCAGTTCTGCCACAAAATTTCCATAAGCCAAAGGATCCTGCACTTGGATATAGAAGCCAGTCAGCGGTGGATAAACTCACTGTAAACTCACCTATGTACTGTCCTTGGTTAATCTGCACATAGAAGTAGAAGCGAGCATCAGGATCCTTGTCATCAACACAGGTGAACACCACCTGCAGGCGACCACCTGGCAAGGGAGGTAATCAATAGAGCAGCTTTCATTATTTCAAAATGTTTTTTTGTTTGTATTGAGTATGGTTTCATATATCTTTGATTCTTCAGTGTATTACATCTCTATTCTATTCTGTGGGTGCACATTGTATTACGTCTCTATTCTATTCTGTGGGTGCACTGTGTATTACATCTCAATGCTCATCCATGTTCAGTGTATTACATTGTGATTCCAGTGTGAATAATAACTTGATTTCATTTGCCACAAGGGTAGTCAAGACACTTTCATACATTTTTCATAAAACATCAATCATACTCTTTTGTCAGTACAAGATGTTTATTCATGCACCGTCATATAGTTCAAGCACCCTTTAGGTAAACTATCTTTGAAAAGTATCTTTGACATATCATGAAAGGTACCATTAAAGTGTAACACCTTCAGTTTGTGGATCATGACAAAGCCTTGTTAATCTGTTCTCCTGTATAAGCTGAAAGTGTATACCAATAACAGAATTACCTGAGGTCTTCTTGAACTTAAGTCCAAGTCTGTCTTGGAACATGGCAGCTGCCCTCTCCAGCTCTGTCAACTTATCAGATATGGCTTTCTCTTGAGCAGACAACACTGGAAGCATCAATATCCAATATATCACTGTATATCAATAGTTAATAGTATTGACTGTAGTAGTAGTAGCAGTAGTAGTAACTTGCTAAAACTTGTAGTTTGACTATTACATGTCCTCATGACATTGTTGTTTTCATGATGGAAATAGCTAGCCAAGATGAACCTTAATGGTACATCTATGGGAACTTGTGAAAGTTCCAGAGGGGTACTGATGTGTGTTTTACAACAACCTACCACAATCTACTTGTAGCATTTCAATAGTTGACTTCCTTCAGTCCAAAGGAGTCGACTTTTATTACAAGAAGGAATCAGCAGGGGGTTCTGATGTGTGTTTTACAACAACCTACCACAATCTACTTGTAGAGCTTTAGTAGCTGATTTCCTTCCGTCTTGGTCATATATCTAAGAAGGAATGGGGAGGTGAAGAGAGACAATGGAATCAGGGCAGGGTCACTAAACATGTCATTTTCTTGGATAGTGAATTGTTATATTAGACGTCTAATTATATATATAAAGTTTTTTGACATTTGTCTTTTCACGCTATTACATGGGAGTGTAATATGACAAAAACTCGGGGAGAGTCAAATACATTAGAGTAAGCACATTATTGCATAAATATTAAGGGCCACCTAGATAGACTCCTGCAGGTGTAATCAGCAATTAAAACACCTGATATGTGGATCCTGACACCACCATGGGCCATCTAGATAGACCCCTGCAGGTGTAATCAGCAATTAGAACACCTGACCTGTGGATCCTGATGCCACCAAGGGACACAACTCTGAACAGAAATACAACAAACAAAGCCTTACACTGTTTCTCTCTGCTAATGTCTTCTCCCACACTAAATACATGCTGTTCCATGAGCCTGTGTTGTTCAAGCCTTTCATCAGACTCCTCATTGAGGCGGTTGAGTTCAGTCTTCAGCTCCTGTACTTTTGCAATGTGTTCATTAAGGGCTGAAACATTCAGATATCAGAAATTCCAATCATTTATGAACATAATTATTCCTGAGTAGTAAGTGAAATAGTCAACTATATTTAAACTCAGTGTCTGAATGACAAGATCTAAATGGATTGGAGGGGTGAGTGGGGTAGCCTAGTGGTTAAAGTGTTCCCTCAATACGCCAAAGATCTGGGTTTGATTCCCCACATAGGTACAACGTGTGAAGCCCATTTCTGGTGTCCCCACCATGATATTGTTGGAATATTGCTAAAAGTTTAGTAAAACTAAACTCACTCACTCACTAATAGGCTCACGTTATCTTGATAAAATACTATATATATCCCGCCTGGGAGGAAATAGCAAAAGACTTTAGTCATTATTCGTAGGAAACTATGAAAAGTTTGTTGAGCTAATCAGAAAAATCTAAATCCAGAAAATGAAATCATGTTAACACCTGTTCTAACCTAACAGCTATAACTAGTTAAAAAGAACATCAGCACTTGAACCAATCACTCTCTTAGAATCAGGCACCAAATCGACAGCACACAAAGTCAGCATCTAAACCACAGAGTCATTGCAGCCTCCACTAACATCTGTAATTGACAGAGAAAGTGTAATCCAATATATAACATATCTTGCATTTGACCATTTTCTGATGTGTAATGAGTTTATAAAATCCGCATGATCTGCTTTAGAGACTACATACAAGTTTGTCACGGTTTGTATATATGGTTGCTTACCCTTCTTGCTGACTTGACACTTATGTCGGAGATTGTTTAATCCATCCTCATGATCCTTCTTTTTCTCTGTAGATACATAAAGAAATATTTTTTGTGTTCTCAACAAAATACATTCACTACAGAAACTGTATTGTGATTTCAATAGGAATAAATGTATATCAATAACTGAATAAGTATTGACTTTGATTGTCTCAGGTATCCCAGTATTTCTGGTGGTATTCAGTGTCCTAAATAGGCCACAGTGGAATACCCTTTCTGCATAGTCTCTATTTCAAGCAATAGAGATTTATCGTGTGATTTTGTTGCATTGACAGAGAATCGACACCTTCTTAGCACAAGATGTATTGATGATATATTCCATATGAAAAGCCACGAGGATAACTATGGTGAGATTATGTTTAGTATCTAAAATCCTTCTTCCAAATTTGTTGGTTTGTTAACAGTAATAACCTGTTCTAAACATGAGTCAAAGATTGTTTGGAAATCAACTTCTTCAGATTGATCACTCCTCAAGAATACTGCCAGCATACACATCACAGGGTTCCCACATTTTTGTGAAAAATAAATCCACGATTTTGCCATGATTTTTCCAGACAAATATTGCTTTTTCCAGACACAACAATATATGTCCTAAGGTATTTTGATACCTTCAAACATATATTACTGTGTCTGAAATAAAACAATATCTTAAATTTCCCATCTCCCTTTACAGTTTTCCATTCACACCGCTTTAAAATAATAAAAATGAAATCTCAAGTGTAACAATTTTTCTTTTACTCTTCATCTGGCTTTATTGACATATAACCAATATGTTGAAGGCTGCCAAAGCCTTTGTAGAATTGTTAAGATATAGAGTTTTATTAAGCCCAAAATTATTCGATGATTTCATCCATTTTTTTCCAAATTCCATGGTTTTTCCAAGACTGGAAAATGGGGTGTGAAATTCCCAGGTCTTCCAGGTGGGATCCACAGCACATATTGAATCCAATGTGACTATATCACTGTACAGCTAATCAGTGGTGAACATGACAATATACATTCTTAGTATCAACAGGGTGGTTGGTTGGTTATCTCCCATTTGACAGACACCCAATTGACAGACACTGAACTAGAAGGTTAATTAGGGTAACACCTACGGGTATAATGGAACAGTCCACTGTTTAGTGAGTAGAGCAGGGTGAGCCTGAAACAGGTTCGTTACTGAGAAGTTTGATTGTAGGTACATAGAACTTTGTTGTGTTTAAATGATAAATGATTTCTCCTCTCAAAATTGTTTTTACTATCAATTACTATCGAATATAAAAACAGGTTTGTCACTGAGAGGTTTGATTGTGTTTATTGATAGAAAAGCCCCCTCCCAATAATAGCATATGTACAACAGAAGTTAACTGAGAAAACGTTTTGTGAGAGAGATATAGATATGTACATATTTATAAACATTCTGATTTGCAGTAAATGAGACACCTGCATTGCCATGTAAGATACGATTAATACAAATCAGTGTTCCAGTTTTAACAACACTTTCTAAAGATTGTAACAGTTTATGTCTTTGAGTAGTATACGATGGCCATTCAAGGACGTAATGATAAACATTCTCACATCCATGGCCACATTGACATGATGCGTCATATTTTAAATATTTATTCTAAATAAATCGTAATTAAGTTCACTCGTCATAGATCCTATAACTGTGTGCAAAACATATAACTTCTTTATTCCATATGAATAATATTTAGGTTCACATTTACTTTATTTGATTTATATGATACATCAGTGTCGCAATTTCTAATAGCTAAGCTAATGTTTTCAATATAATGATGCCGACTCCCGTTAGACTAGAAGGTTAAACCGAAATGTTTGTGAAAAACTGTTTTCATATTGCAGCAATAAAAATTCAAATTACTGTCTTTTCGTCCATCTTTCAAAATAAATAATATAGCTTCAGTTTTAATACAAGACAAATCTTATGGATAACAACTTCTTGATTTATGTTATCCGTAAGATTTGTCTTGTATTACTACACCAGCTTCTAAATGCCTTTGAAGAATTTAGCTTCAGTTCCTGTGTTTTTATTTGGACTATTCCATAATAATGTGTAGGTAACAGGTAGTAGATAATCTGTTCACTGAACCGTAAATGTTGTTGTTTTAAGGTGTCTGCCAACTGGCTGTCTGCGTAATGGGAGGACACCGGTTGGTTTGGTACAAGATATAAGCATAAGGAGAACATACAAACACATTTTACAATAAATTTAGTCTTAACTTTGAAGCCTTGAATAGAAATTTACCAAGATTACAGAGTTGTTTAACATTTTGGATACTTAAGAGCTAGACAAATTTGAAAACTGATGGATTTTTCCAATAGTAAGGCTTAATGTACAATTTCCTTCAATCATAATAAACAGGACATTTTAAAACAAAATGGAATTCATCCTCTATATCACTGGACACAGGACAGACATGTTCTATTGCTTATGTCAACATTATTATACCTTCCTGTTTCAATATATAAGTTATATGAAAAGAATCAAAATCTAGACAAATATTTTGTATAAATTGCAGGAATTGATTTTTGATGATAATATTGCACAGTGTAAGTATCAATGATATGTTTATACAATCTACTCTTACATGATCAATGAGTCTTTGTTTAATGACAGGCAGATAAGAGACATTCAATTTTTGCTTATACTACATATTAGTGTGGTCCGATTAATTGAAATAATCGAAGATTGGTCGTAGAGACTAAACGACCAAGCAATCGATCATAATTTCTCAGAATCGAACACAACCAATTTTGGAACACTTGTTTTCATTAACAATATATTTCACATGGTTGGTTTTGTCTGTTACATTTTGTAAGCACTACAAGAAATTTTGCCAAAAAGCCCCAAAAGAACTACCTGTTTTTTCCCTTATTTTTATGTGCATTAACAAATTTCATAAATGACGCTAACCAATTATTTTCGATGATTGATCGGTTGTAATGAAGTTGAACCAATCATCAATTTTGAGATTTTAACCAATTCCCAACACTACCACATATCACCAAAACCAAGAGTTGTCAAAACATTCTTAACCTGAAAGGCCCAGTTCTGAACATTATTTGTTTCTATCTCATCACATAGATAGTCATAACACCCACGCAGAATATAGTTATCAGTTCCTAGCAGCTTACTCCAGTACTTGACAATATTGAACATCCGTTTGTAGCGCAAAGGATAATAACCAAGTTTGGCATAAACCATACAATTACAAGTTGATTTGTTACACCCAATAAACGCTCACAACAATCCAAATGTAATCTTTCGATGTTTTCAGCCTTATGAGAGCCCCATACTTCAGATGCATAGCACAAGACACTTACAACACAGCAATCGAAAACAGGCAACATCGTTTGAGGGTTGAGATATTATTAAGAGCAAGTGAGGCCTTTCCACCTTGATACGATAACTACTAACTTCCTGGCTTGTCAGTAATCTGTTTACGTCAGTATATAAACTAATCTTGGTTTAAGAATTAAATCTGATATCTCATGTTCATAAAGTAAAGAAGTTAAAATGAAGAAAATCTTTGTCTCTGTAATAACCTATGTATTGAGTGTAGTGCAACTAGCCACTTTCAGTGTCAGAGAGAAGTGATGTCATTTCATTGATGTCATAGTAACCATCCAGTAGACATACATGGAGTATAGGCTGCTTAAAGGTCACATGCACAACACAACTTTGCAGATTCTGATACCTTTCGGTATGGACTTACCAAAACATATCGTCAAAAATGCAAATTCAACTTATAAAGTTGAAAAATAACGCGATGAAAAAACCTGCGCGAAATCAGAGTTCAAACGTTTCACTAATTTCCCCCCGACTTTTCGGGGGGAAAACTTGTTTCAACAGCTGGGCTGCGCTCATAGCACGTGCGCAGTGAAATAGGTTTGCGAAGCTTGGAAGCGGGTTGGTCCGCAGGAACTGTACTAGTTGTGATATCAAACAAAACTACTAAATCTGAATCTAATATTTGTTTTAATTTACCTTTTATTACCTTTACAATATCTTACATTCCTAAGTTTCTATTACACTAAACCTCTGTCAAACAATCTAACACCCAAATGGTTACCACTAACGAACTATCTCAAGGCGTGCTGCCTTATCAACATATCGAAACGAACTCACTTCAATTCCACTTCGAACTACAAGTACACACGTGGCGAAAATGCAAGCTTTTTGCATGCTCGAGCTTTCCGCGAAGTAAGTTGTTGTCAGGTGTGTTTTCGCGAACTGTTCGTATGTACACAAACTGAAACCTAATAACCTGTCTGGTTAACAGTGGTGAATAAATCAGTACAACGAATGAACAATACATTTGTGTGGACAATCCTTTTGTCCACGGGTTGTCCGGTGAATACTCGGTGAAGGCTTTGGTGTGAGCTATTTTTGTAATGTTTTGTTGATATCTCACAGGTGCGAGCATTTTATATGTTATGACAGTAAATTAACTGTTTATATAATTTCATTTGTCTATTTCACCACACGTTCTTCTTACCGAGTCACTTTCTCAGTTCGATACTTGAAAGCAGTGTCATTATTTAGCGTCGACAGAATTTCTAACTGTGATATAGATATGTCTTTGTCACAGACAAAACTCAATGTCTTGTTTTATTGACACCTGTGTGTCTGCCTGCCTGTCTGCTAATGACAATATTCAATACACAGCTGCTATCACTGACCACATGCAATTTGAACTTAACACCAATCAGGCTATACACCATAAACAAAATGCATTGATTTATGGCCCGAGTTCTGTCTCTGTCACATTATGTAATTACAGACAGGCAGGTGCGATACTTCAGCACATGACATGTTATGATGTCTGTTGATTGTAAAATGTTATACACAAAAAATGAGCATGTATTTACAAAACCCAACATCTCTATATATACACACACAATGAGCCATGAGGGCATCGGCAAATGAACCAGCCGTTACACTTGAGTGCACACCCACCCGCTCTGACTGGGTTCGGTATCCCGGCTGCTTCGTTTCTTGGGAAGTAAACCCAAGCACACAATATTGCACTTTCGATTTGCGATTGTACGCTTATAATTTTGTTTATATGTTTTTTCATAACCAGCAATGTATATTATATGTCATGAATAAGTGATAATTGTGTTTTAATTATGTTTGATTTTTTGGTTTCATATGACCTTTAAGCAATAATGCATCCACATTGTGGATAATGTTTTAAACCATTTACAAAAGCATGTCTTGCATTTGATTTTGTATGAGGAATTCAAGTTAACCTGAAACATTTGACCAAGAAGAATTTTCATGTGAGGATACCCCCTAAAATGCATAGCACAAGGAATAAATCCCAGATAACTGACAAACCAAGTGAATCCTGAAGGAGTTTGTTGGAAGTCAGGGCAAGATCTTGTGTAAGCTGTCGAGAAGTTCATCTCCGTCCAGTGGTTGAACTTCTCCCTGGCTTCCTGCAGCTTGGGAACGAAACGTCTCTACTTCTTGCTGGTAATCCATTGTGGTGTTCAGCTACTCCTCCACACTGACTGGAGCATCAAGGGGAGAACTGTTACATTAGTCCATAGGAAGTCCAGCTGATGCTGAACATTATGATACTATCTGCAGTGTCATGTGCTATGAAACTGTTAGAAATTAGGGAGGATTATGGCATCAGGTGTTTGGGCCATAGTATTGTATTTTAGAGACATCTACATGCTCCAAGGTCAGCATATAGACTTAAACAAGGAGTGCTCAACCATATTGTAAACAGCTACAATCATTGGCAAGTCAAAAGGTACCAAAGATTAGGGACACAAAATTGGTGAAAAAACAGTACGTACACTGAGAAAACCCGCTTTGTAGCAATATCTTACATTGAACATTTTCAGTGTGATTTTGTATTTTGTGAAGCATAAGTTCAGTATTTCATAATCGTAAATCAGAAGCATGCATAGGGTTCTACTCTCCCCTTTAAATGATACTGGATACTAAGGTTAGTTTTCACAGTTGCATCCCTCTGGCTATACAGGAAAACATCAATGGTTTTAGTCCAAAATTCACCATGATTGTTTTTAAGTTTGTCAGCACAATATCTGTGATTGGGTTTTTTCAGAGTTATAAATGTCCAAGACCTTCAATCTGAAACACCATAGTCAAATAAATGTTGCAAGCTATCTCACTCACACAACAATATCCTAGCTATCAAAGAGGAACTACCAGTATATTGAATTTCTCCCTATTTTCGAAAAATATGAGAGAAAAAACAAGATCATATTTCTGTGGCCTTACTCTGTTATTTTATAGCACTACTATGTATGGTGGACCCTGTGGAATGTGAACCCATCCAAAATATGTACAAACACACTGACCTTGAGGCATTTATCTTCTGAAGTGGGTGTCCAAATTACGTGTTCACCTGCTTACCTCCACATATCAATAAACATGAATACCTAGAATTTTACACATCCCTCAGGGTGAGGGCCAGGGTTTGGTTACCTTTAGCTTAGACAACTTTGCCAACAACACCAAGGTGTGTTGGATGGAATACGAGTTTATTTATATGAACTACCTTTGGCTAAGATCAAGAGGCCAACATTTGTAAATTTGCTCCAAGACAAATATGGATACTGCACGTCTCTTATCTTCTCTTCTAGTTGCCATTTAGTGTCATTGTTGTTAAACACGACACAATGCTTATCGGTCAGTAATGACAGTTTAGGTAAGCCTGTATCATACGCAGGGTAAGAGTTCCGCCCGTAACCCCAGTAAGCTCTATTTATTATGGCTATTTCGAGGGGTTAGGTTTAGGTTTAGAGTAGGCTTTCTATCAAAACCACTTTTTCAAGGCATCATAAAAAACGGGGGTTACAGGCGGAAATATTTCCAGGAAAAGAACTTTATGTAATTTTTCAGTGTGCCGGTGTGACCTGGTTTTGTCGTAGGGATAGATTCCATTACTTTAGCAAAGGCATAGATATATATATGCTCACATTCTTTTGTCAACTCTGACAATCAACGACTGCACACTTGAAAATGGCGCTCTCGTACACCGGATGTACATAACCTATGACGTTTGCACAAGTGCCTGATTAAGCTGGGCCCCGTCTCGCATATCGAAAGCTTTCGCGCAAGGTGGCGCACGCAGTGGGTAGCCAGCTTAGTGCCTGATACGGCCTATCGTGGAAGTTGTCTGACCAGGCTCTGTCGTATACTCCATACAGCGATACTGCTGATGGATGTTGTACGAAGTTTAGGACGACATGACCCGAACTGACATGTGTTGTTATTCGCCCGTCATATAAATGCTGGAGATATAGCCAACACCTCGTCTGTCTGCACGAGTGAGTTTAGTTTTACGCCGCACTCAGCAATATTCCAGCTATATGGCGGTGGTCTGTAAATAATCGAGTCTGGACCAGACAATCCAGTGATCAACAGCACGAGCATCGACCTGCGGGAACCGGTGACATGTGTCAACCAAGCCAGCAAGCCTGACACCCCCGTTCGACAAGCCTGTCTGCACGATGTTTGGATTGACTTAAATGTGCTGTGGTGAATTTTTTTCTTGAGTCGATACTCTGGGATTATTATTACGATACCCGAAAACTGTCTACTATAACAATCCATAATTTTATTTACAAATATGAATTGTGAAATTGTTTTGTTTTATTTTGACACAGTATATGTACATATTTTTTTAATTAAAGTTTATGAAGATTATATTGAGTACTAAGGTGGGTGACATTATTTCAATTTAATTACACAACAGGAAGATGCGGACATTAAATGCATTTTAATGGACATTCAGTCAACAGAAGACTTAAATCAGAACACTACGGAGGACGTATTTCAAAGTGTGACAAAATGTCAGCAGTTGTTAAGGACTTGAAACAAGAACAAAAATAGCCTATGGGGAGAGACAGAGCGGTTACAAGTTGAAAACTTGTGGGAAAAAAATCGGCCGACTGTGTCATATCTGCAGATAGTTGGTATAATTACTTCAAAACTCTGTTAAATCCTGACGTTGATTTAGGGAACTCGTTTGACAAATATGTACAAGGGTATTAATATTAGACCACAATGCATTGGTATGTGAGAATTCTTGGCGGCTGACTTTGTGCTGGCGGTTGGGTGCCTGGCTGTGGGGATGTGGGTCCGGGTCCTGGTTGGGACTCGGTCCGGCAGGGCTCTATGCTTTGTTGGGAAGGCGTGGTCCCAAACAGAGCTTGTTGCATGTGATCACATTCTCAATGGCATTGTGTACTATAGTGCATATGGTATCATCTTAAGATCATAACGCTCTGAAAATGTATGTAACATCTTAAACTACATCTTAAACTACATCTTAAACTGTACTCTGGCCTCGGAATACAATAAACTTCTGTTATTCTGTTATATTCTTCGTCTAAAGATGGTGCTGTCTTTCGACGTCAGTATCCCAAGTCTTTCTGTGTTCATTGCAAACCAAATTTAGGTTTTTTACAAAGTTTTGACAATCATATATAACGTGATTAGTGAATACAACTTTAAACTATAAGCGTTGGCTTATAACATATAATCCTGATAAAACTGAGGCACTATTTATCCTGATAAAACATTGCAAAAGAATGTTGATGCACTTAATCTCTACTTTAACGGGGGACCGCCTCCGTGGTGTAGTGGTTAGAGCGTCCGCCCGGAGAGCGGAAGGTCGCGGGTTCGATCCCCGACGGCGTCATACCAAAAAGACGTTAAAATATGGTACTTGTTGGTCCCTGCCTTGCGCTCGGCATTAATGGGTACAACAAGGACTGGTCGGCTCGGAGTCAGTATAATGTGTCAGAGTGGGGTATTCATGCTTCACTGCGGCATGGTATCTCAGTGGACTAGCACTATAAAACCAGCTTAAGTCTGGGCTAGTACAAACAGCCTCACATACACATACACATGCATGCACGTCGTCATATGAGCGAAATATTCTCAAGCACGACGTAAAACCCAATTTCACCTCACTTTAACGGGGCTCTTGTCAAAACAGTTAATAATCATAAACATTTGGGATTAACATTTTCAAAAGATTGTAAATGGTCTGACCATACTGATAATATTCTAAAAATAACTTCAAAAATGATATCTTCTCCAGGAATACTCAAATATTATTACCGCTCTCTGTATTGACAACAATTTAAGTAATGTTCATAAGACGCCATTTCGAATATTCGTGTTAAGTATGGGATGGATGTGCTCAATATCAAGAAAATGAATCAGAACAACTGCAATTAGAAGCAGCAAGAATTGTAACAGGTTTACCTAAATATACTCATCATGAACATCTGTATTATGAAACTGGTTGGGAAACTTTAGCAGAACGTAGGAGAAAGAATTTTGTCTTTTTTTACAAAATACAGAATAATATGGCACCATCGTATCATAATGATCTTGTTTTTGGAAACGTAGCATCTAAACGTAACTATAATTTTCTCAACTGATGATGTTTCACTTCCTTTATCACTATTAAAATGTTCGTATGATTCGTATTTTTCCATCCACAATTAAAATGTGGAACGAATTTCCAGTTGGAGTGAGAAAACGCGTTTCATTGAGTTCTTTTTATGTAATATCGTTATAAAACATAAAACTACTCCTCAATACTTTGTTTTTGGACCGAGAAACGCTGATATCATCCTTACAAACTACGTTACATGTGTTGTCAATTGAATCATGATCTATTCCGTGTTGGTATAAAACATAACCCAAGTTGTTCTTGTGGAAATGTTTGTGAAAATTCTTATCATTACCTATTTGAGTATCAAGTATATGCTGTCCAGAGAACTGCCATGATGACTAATTTACGCAGTGTTACCAATATCAATATAAACTATGAGTTACTATTACATGGCAATGCAGGTCTGATTTCGCATAAATCAAAACATTTAAAATTCTTCAAACATATATTTGTCAAGATTGTTTAAATTATTGCAATTGTTTCCCATCTTTTTCTTTTTGTCTGTCCATCTTATGTAATAAATGTAGATAATACCATGTAAATACTACAGAGAGGCTGTTCTAAGATGTATAACTTGTACCCAATCCTTTTCTCACGAATGAAATATGTTTAAAACAAAGCTTTAAACTATTATAGTGGTAATTGAATGAACCATTACAGACGAAGAGAGGCACAGAGGAAGGAGAAAGAGGATTGAGTGGAAGACAACATGCTTCTGCTATGAAGGAGCAACACTGTCTTCTTTCCTTCAACAGCGGAATGTAAATATCTCACCAGGAATGGATTTGGTAAGGTTACTGACATCACAAATCTTCCGCCAATGTATAACTGAAACGATTTTAACATTTATCTTTAATGCAGGTAATAGGGCACAAAAGTTTTTCCGAGTTGAAATTCGTTTATTGTCGCTTTGTTTAGGATAATGACACAATTGAGAGAAAACAACACCAGAAAATTTACACGTTCGATACACTAATTACAATATGTTTACATTTTTCATTCTGCTTTTTTCCTCCACGTTTATATGTCTTATTCTGGAACTTTCTTCTAGGATACTAAGCTGAAGAATTTTGGTATGTGAGCAGAGATGTTTGGATAATGATACATTGGATTAGACACTGGAAATACGTTTGTTTCAGAATCCAAAGTCATAAGGCTCCTGAGGAGTTGGACTCTGGGACGACTGGAGGCCCACGTCGTGTCTTTGTTTCCAAGAGTCCCTCTCTCCCTTTCTGGCTTCACATATGCACGATGTGACAAGGGAAGGAGGGTGAGGACAATAGCCCTGCAGTCCCTCCAAGATCTCGAGAGAAAAATGGGGAAGGCCAAACTCATCATCGTCCCCAACGATAGTAAGAAACTGAGAGACTAATTTTAGTCAAATCCGTAATTCTCTTAAAATCGCTTCGCAATAATATTATATTATTTCATATAATTTTGACAGAACGAGACGGGCAGGTAAACGCCAACATTCCCAGAAATCTATCCCAAGCGCCATCAAGCCCAGAAATCGTACCCCAAGCGCCATCAAGCCCAGAAATCGAACCCCAAGCGCTATAAAGCCCAGAAAGTGTACACCAAGCGGCATCAAGCCCAGAAATCGTACCCCAAGCGCCATCAAGCCCAGAAATCGTACCCCAAGCGCCATCAAGCCCAGAATCGAACCCCAAGCGCTATAAAGCCCAGAAAGTGTACACCAAGTGCCATCAAGCCCAGAAAGCGTACCCCAAGCGGCATCAAGCCCAGAAAGTGTACACCAAGCACCAACAAGCCCTCAACCCGTACTTGAAACACAGGAAAATTGATGGACTATGGCGGGCACACCCACAGTTCAGTTCCGGACAACAGGTAATCCAAAATCTGAAGACAAATACAATATTATTACCAACACGGACCATATGATTAAGTTATCAACTAAGGTCGGTTACAAAGGTATCATAAAACCAGTGAACACGGGTCTTATGATCGGTTGTGCTTACATGCACGATTTAACAATTTGAAACATCTGACAACACAAGACTCCTAGATCAGAATACTTTTAACAGACATCTTAAGAACATCTGAGTATAGAACGGAAAAACAGCACATTAAATCTCATATATCGAATATGTACTTGACACGTCATTTCATTAGCATATGTATGATGATTTGTAAAACCTCCAGCATCATTTATCTTCGTTTTCATAGCCGAAAGTGAAAACAACAGTGCGGGATCTGTTCAAGATGCTGCCCAACTTAACCACGGTGAGTACGAAAAATACCTTCCGGAGCACCCTGTTTCCTCTATTAGAAATCTATTACTTTCGCGCAAGCTGCTTACTCGGAGTCTATTCTGATTAATGATGCCAGCACAGTTGGAACGTACTGACAACATTCCTGAATCCCTAATCCAACATCGTACAAATTATGAAATGGTCGACCTGGCGTTTTATAATATTATCACTCTGCCATATGTGTATAGTTATAACATTCACTAGAGTTATTACTAACATATGTGTATAGTTTAGCATTCACTAGAATTATTACTAACATATGTGTATAGTTTAGCATTCACTAGAATTATTACTAACATATGTGTATAGTTTAGCATTCACTAGAATTATTACTAACATATGTGTATAGTTTAGCATTCACTAGAATTATTACTAACATATGTGTATAGTTATAGCA